GAAGATGCTTCACGTAACGAGGCAATAGTGCTGTTTTTTTGGTTAGCCTAACTGATGCCATTTTGCTTCTGTAAAAAAACTGCCTGCTTTAGAATTTGTGAGCCACTGTTAATGGAGAAATCTGAGGGCTCCCTTGGACAAAAAACAAGGACACCAGCCAGGAATACCAGAGCAAAACAGCAGCCAGTAGGCTTGGTCTTTATTGAAGACTGTCGCGACAGGACTCCCACCTGCCACCAGGTGGAACAAGATGGAAGCCACGAACAAAAGAGCCCCCAAACTTTTATTAGCTGCTAATCCCCATGTTACACCCCCCCCCAAACTACATCACGGTTACATCATGAAAGGGGAGGTCTGGTGGCAGTAATCTGAGCATCCTGGACCCTGCCCCACGGTTCTCCTTGCCCTCCACCAAACACCCATCAAGTGTAACAAAGTAGATCTTTACATTTCCCTGTTTCCCAGCCAAGTTAATCACACCCTTTTGTCTTCATCTGGGTTTGTTATTTCTGGAATGGCTACCTCAGGTATCAGGATGCCAGGAATTATCACTTGGGCAGAAGGGCTGCTGAGTAGCTGAGCTCACATGTCTACAGTGGTACCTCGGGTTAAGTACTTAATTCGTTCCAGAGGTCCGTTCTTAACCTGAAACTGTTCTTAACCTGAAGCACCACTTTAGCTAATGGGGCCTCCTGCTGGTGCCGCGCCACCAGAGCACGATTTCTGTTCTCATCCTGAAGCAAAGTTCTTAACCTGAAGCACTATTTCTGGGTTAGTGGAGTCTGTAATCCAAAGCGTATGTAACCTGAAGCGTATGTAACCCGAGGTACCACTGTATATGAATTTCTGACGTTTTCCCAGTGAGCCAGAACATAGATGCATTTATCAGTGAATTGTTACATTTGGTATCGTGCAGCAAAGGCCCTTTGAATGTATGGGAAGAAACTGAAAAGCCACAAAAGGGATTGTGCTGGTTTTGGTAGTGGGCTGCATGTGCATGATATCTGCTGGAGGGGCAACCCCCCCCCCAACCTATACATAAATTCCTGCAACACCACAAATATGTGAAGACTAGATAACGTTGCTAGGCGATTTTCGGGAAAACCTCCCTCTGGCAAGCAACTCTCCCCTTCAAGGTCTCCAGGCAGGATGTCCTGTTTGGACCAGCCCAAGGAACCTCAAAAGGGGGAAAGGAAGGGGGTGCCTATAAAAAGTATGAACAAAGGCTATTTGGCACGGCTTCACCATCACACTGATGAGTGTGGCTCGGCCACTCTGTTTTACTCAGCTGAATAAACGAGTGATTATGGGAATATCTTCTGTCTATGGCATTTATTAGGGACGCAGGTGGCGCTGTGGTCTAAACCACTGAGCCTAGGGCTTGCCAATCAGAAGATCGGTGGTTCGAATCCCCGCGACGGGGTGAGCTCCCGTTGCTCGGTCCCTGCTCCTGCCAACCTAGCAGTTTGAAAGCACGTCAAAGTGTAAGTAGATAAATAGGTACCACTCTGGCGGGAAGGTAAACGGTGTTTCCGTGCACTGCTCTGGTTGGCCAGAAGCGGCTTAGTCATGCTGGCCACATGACCTGGAAGCTGTCTGCGGACAAACGCCAGCTACCCTCAGCCAGTAAAGCAAGATGAGCGCCGCAACCCTAGAGTCGTCCACGACTGGACTAAACTGTTAGGGGTCCCTGTACCTTTACGGCATTTATTAACTTTTCAGTGACCAAGGCAGCCCAAGAGGCTCAGTGGTTTAGACCACAGTGCCACCCGCATCCTATGATTAAACTAATGCACCTGCTACAGGATTGGTCCTACCATTCGGCGAAGGGAAGCAGCCTCCTTAAATGGAAGAGGCTGGGGGATGGAGGGCAAGAGCAGCACAAAGAGGAGTTGGAGCTAGGTGCCCCATGTAGCCTGCCCTACAGTCCCTGAGATAACCTGCTGCCGCCAGGTGTGGGAAAGGACACAGTCCTCTTGCCCAAATTGAAGGAAGATTCTGCTACCTGTATGGGCAGCTTTGCGGGTGGCACTGTGGTTTAAACCACAGAGCCTAGAACTTGCCAATCAGAAGGTTGGCGGTTCGAATCCCCGTGACGGGGTGAGCTCCCGTTGCTCGGTCCCTGCTCCTGCCAACCTAGCAGTTCAAAAGCACGTCAGAGTGCAAGTAGATAAATAGGTACCGCTCCAGCGGGAAGGTAAACAGCATTTCCATGCGCTGCTCTGGTTCACCAGAAGTGGCTTAGTCATGCTGGCCACATGACCCAGAAGCTGTACACCGGCTCCCTCGGCCAATAAAGCGAGATAAGCGCCGCAACCCCAGAGTCGGCCACGACTGGACCTAATGGACAGGGGTCCCTTTACCTTTACCTTTAGCTAAGGTTGTGTATCCACAGCAGTGACCAGAGGAAGAAAGACCTCTGGGAGGAGCACAGAAAGAGGAAATGCCATGGTGCATCTGCATGAGCACAACCGGTCGCCTTCATCTGGCCCAGCTGCAACAAAACATGTCTCTCCCATATTGGTCTCTACAGCCACAGCAGGCGCTGTAACCTTCCAGCAGTTTGACTTCACCCCCCAAAGGCGCACTCCTCCTTAGTCTCCCAAGACAGATGGATGTCAGCGACAGGAGATAAAACACATATAAAGAGTGAATGTTAAACATCTACGTCGGTTATCAGTTTCATTATGAAATGATTGACCACAGTGCTATAAAATGCTTAGCATTTTTCCTCACAATAAATGTGGCGGTTTGCTCACTAGAAACGAGAGCCTGTTTTTATTTCACCTTTGAGCTTGTTTGCCACTGGCAATGGAAATAATCTATTTTAAGCTTCTCAAATGTGCTCATCATGTCCTGCCCATGGACTTTCTGTAGGCATCTGACTGGATACTGTGAGAGCAGAAAGCTGGACTTTATGGGGCTTAGGTCTAATCTTATGTTCTTTGTAAATGCACACACAGAGATGCAATTCCTAGCACCCTTGTTGTTGTTGTTGTTTAGTCGTTTAGTCATGTCCGACTCTTTGTGACCCCATAGCCCAGAGCACACCAGGCACTCCTGTCTTCCACTGCCTCCCACAGTTTGGTCAAACTCATGCTGGTAGCTTCGAGAACACTGTCCAACCATCTCCTCCTCTGTCGTCCCCTTCTCCTTGTGCCCTCCATCTTTCCCAACATCAGGGTCTTCTCCAGGGAGTCTTTTCTTCTCATGAGGTGGCCAAAGTCTTGGAGCCTCAGCTTCAGGATCTGTCCTTCCAGGGAGCACTCAGGGCTGATTTCCTTCAGAATGGATAGGTTTGATCTTCTTGCAGTCCATGGGACTCTCAAGAGTCTCCTCCAGCACCATAATTCAAAAGCATCAATTCTTCAGCGATCAGCCTTCTTTATGGTCCAGCTCCCACTTCCATACATCACTACTGGGAAAACCATAGCTTTAACTATACGGACCTAGCACCCTTAACAAACTACAGTTCCCAAGATCCTTGCAGGGGGGAACCATATACTTTAAATGTGCGATTCAGGTGTGACTAAACAGAAAGAACCAGGGAATCAGTTCAGCACTGTTGCAGACCCTCCAAGTGTCCCTATTTTCGGGGGGGCATTCCTGGATCTAAAGAAGCCATCCCAGTTTCTGATTTGATCCCAGAATGTCCTGCTTTTCCTTAGGATGTCCATATTTTGATCGGAGAAACGTCGGAGGGTATGGAGTTATGCGACCCCTGAGCCAAGGAGATAAGTAACTAGACAACCTTTAGAAGACATAGGAAATGTTTTTCAAAATGTTTAATGTTTTATGATGTTTTTATATATGTTGCAAAGCTGCCCAGAGTGGCTGGGGCAATCCAGTCAGATGGGCGAGGTATAAATAATAAAAATTATTTATTTTTATTACTATGGAATAGGATGTCCCTGTTTTCATCGGTGAAATGTTGGAGGGTATGGGTCGTGCAAATCAGGTGAAGACATCCTACTCTGGTTTGTACAGCAAACTGCAAATGTGAATTGAAAAGTGGGACAAGTTGGGGGGGGGGCGACGACACACACACAACCTTGCTGAATCCAGCCACTAATGTGTACATCGGGATGCGGGTGGCGCTGTGGGTTAAACCACAGAGCCTAGGATTTGCCGATCAGAAGGTCGGCGGTTCGAATCCCCGCAACGTGGTGAGCTCCCGTTGCTCGGTCCCTGCTCCTGCCAGCCTAGCAGTTCGAAAGCACGTCAAAGTGCAAGTAGATAAATAGATACCGCTCCGGTGGGAAGGTAAACGGCGTTTCCGTGCACTGCTCTGGTTCGCCAGAAGCGGCTTAGTCCTGCTGGCCACATGACCCAGAAGCTGTACGTTGGCTCCCTCGGCCAGTAAAGCGAGATGAGCGCCGCAACCCTAGAGTCGGCCATGACTGGACCTAATGGTCAGGGGTCCCTTTACCTTTACCAGATTAAGGGGATGTGGGTGGCACTGTGGTATAAACCACTGAGCCTAGGGCTTGCCCATTGGAAGGTCGGCGGTTCGAATCCCCGCGACGGGGTGAGCTCCCGTTGCTCGGTCCCTGCTCCTGCCAACCTAGCAGTTCGAAAGCACATCAAAGTGCAAGTAGATAACTAGGTACCGCTCCGGCGGGAAGGTAAACAGCGTTTCCGTGCGCTGCTCTGGTTCGCCAGAAGCGGCTTAGTCATGTTGGCCACATGACCCGGAAGCTGTACGCCGGCTCCCTCGGCCAATAAAGCGAGATGAGTCGGCCACGCCTGGACCTAATGGTCAGGGGTCCCTTTACCTTTACCTTTAATGTGTACATAGCATCTGAAATGGTCTCAGTCCCAGGCGCACACCATCGCAGATTGCTCCCTTTGCAAGGCTGCAGCCTCACGCCAAGAGGTTTGCTGTACCAACCCTCATGTTTAACATGTATGGTCAAAGGATTATTTGAACTGCAAACGTCCGCTACCAGCCAGGCCTCGAGTAATCCCTGTAGGCAACAGCACATGTTTTTCTCACGAAGATGTCAGAGAGGTGTGGTAAACTGGAAGGAAAAGGCTGAGCTCTGCTCCACTGAGCCTCTCCTGGAAACTTAGAAGATGACCTCCAGATCACCTTACAGTTCTGCCTTTGGTTAGCTCTCTGTTCCATCCTGTTCTACTCTGCCAGCTTTTGTCTTCCTTTCCTCTAGAATCAGGTACTTTTATTTTTATTTTGCTCTGCCAAAGAGTGTTACTCTGCCACCACATCCTGCCCATCCAACCTAGATTATAAGCGACAGGATTCTGGCATATATATGTATATGTAAGGCTTGCTCATTACACAGTGGAAGACAGATGACGTGGGGAAATATCATCCATACTGGGCATTCTTCGCAGGTCTTTTTTGTTTGCTTGTAGTTAGCTTGAAAGAAGAAGCTGAGAATCTTCTCTTCAGGGCTGATGCTGACATCACGTCCTTTCCACTCAGCAGGTCTTGCAGCCATCAAACTCGCCTCTGCTCACTTCTGCTTTCACTGAAGAAAAGAGAAAATGGCCAGATTTTTTTCTCTCCTGTGGTCCGTCGGCCTGATACTATGTGAGTATGATACCACGGCTGTGGGTCTTTTTTACTTAAGCCACAATTGGTGAGAGGGGTAGACTTTGGATGTGATTCAGGGCTGAGGTTTGTCCAGCAAGACTTTTGGATTTCATAGAATCATAGAATCATAGAATCATAGAGTTGGAAGAGACCACAAGGGCCATCGAGTCCAACCCCCTGCCAAGCAGGAAACACCATCAGAGCACTCCTGACATATGGTTGTCAAGCCTCTGCTTAAAGACCTCCAAAGAAGGAGACTCCACCACACTCCTTGGCAGCAAATTCCACTGTCGAACAGCTCTTACTGTCAGGAAGTTCTTCCTAATGTTTAGGTGGAATCTTCTTTCTTGTAGTTTGGATCCATTGCTCCGTGTCCGCTTCTCTGGAGCAGCAGAAAACAGCCTTTCTCCCTCCTCTATGTGACATCCTTTTATATATTTGAACATGGCTATCATATCACCCCTTAACCTCCTCTTCTCCAGGCTAAACATGCCCAGCTCCCTTAGCCGTTCCTCATAAGGCATCGTTTCCAGGCCTTTGACCATTTTGGTTGCCCTCCTCTGGACACGTTCCAGTTTGTCAGTGTCCTTCTTGAACTGTGGTGCCGCGTCACACTGTTGGCTCATGTCAAGTTTGTGGTCAACCAAGACTCCTAGATCCTTTGTTTTCTGTGACTACACGGTTCCCATGCTGTATAGCAAAAATTGCCCAGAATTACTGTAACTTTCCAAAGCAGCCTGCTATATCTATGCAGTATGTTATGGGATGGTGAAGGAGGAGGCTGCTGTTGAGAAAAAATAAATCTACAGTCATGTGGAGTTTGTTGCATGGTTCTTTTAATTTTTGAAGTTAGGAAAAAGAACTTTTTTTATAAAAAAATAAAAAAACCCACACCTTTTATTTGATAGAAGTATCAAAACACCTATGTGAAAACACAGACTTTTCTTATTTAGAACATTGCAAAAAAGTGCAGTATAAAACAAAAAAACCAAATCAGATATCAAATGATACATTCTTAACTAAACATGAGAGAAAAAGCAGAAAATAAAATGATTACGCACTAAAATATATGAATAATAATAATAATAATAATAATAATAATAATAATAATAATTTATTATTTATACCCCGCCCATCTGGCTGAGTTTCCCCAGCCACTCTGGGGAATAATCCTTGAACAATCCTTGAATAATAAAAAAAGGTAATAATCAGAAAGAGGATTGCTGCAGCTTGCCAACAGGACCATATAAATGAGAATAATGCATAGCGCATAACACATTTTGAAATGTTGTATTCCAACGGCTTATTAAATTGGCTTCATCTCTCAAAAATGTATTCGGTGCACATCCTTCCACACTCCATTTATAATGTGAGCTTAATTAGAACGGCTGTCTCCATGCTCCTGTAATCCCATTGCCATGTGTCATAATATTTAGAGGATTTAGCACATGTTTGTGAGATAAAATATATGTATTTTAGGCCTGAAGGTTATCCTTTATATGGTGCTCAACCATTAAAATCAATCATGACCAAGGATTACAAGGAGTTACTTATATACAGTACAGTGGTACCTCTGGTTACATACTTAATTCGTTCCGGAGGTCCGTTCTTAACCCGAAACTGTTCTTAACCTGAAGCACCACTTTAGCTAATGGGGCCTCCCGCTGCTGCCGCGCTGTTGCCGCGCAATTTCTGTTCTCATCCTGAAACAAAGTTCTTAACCCGAGGTATTATTTCTGGGTTAGCAGAGTCTGTAACCTGAAGCGTAAGTATCCTGAAGCGTATGTAACCCGAGGTACCACTGTACATGAATTAACACAATCAAAGCTACTTCGAAATGTAAGGAATTCTGTTAATTTTACCAAGGAAAGGGCATCCCATGATTTTTTGGCTAATATTCTTGTTTCAAAGGTATCTTCTTATGTTTCCAGTGACACACATAACCAAAAGTGTGTTTGATTTTACTGCACTTTGGTATAAAGTTTAGAAGATAAGCAAAAGGATCCATAACTACATTGTTCGGAAAGGGCCATGTGGCTTGCCCAAACATTTCCCAAAATGACAATATTTCATTTTTCCAATGCGAATCTAATGTGCAACCTGAAATAAAACAGAAGCCCAAGCACAGGAATTTGCAAAAAAGGGAACGGATTAACCAGAAAAGAGAACCAAATAGACCGGGTGCATTAAAGAGCAAATACAGTTAATAAAAGAAAACTAACAGAAGCAAATCCCTGGCTGAATGACTACCATCAGCCCCTTTGCCACGTGCACAATATATTAGGAAGACAGTGTTGTTGTTTTTCAGGAGTGTATATTATGATAATTATATTAATCTTCTTCCATCTTATAGTGTGGTGGTTTGTTTGATTTTTCTGTTATTTGTTGTTGATTGATTGATTGTATGTTTGTTTACTTGTGTGTACGTCTGTTTTTCAGAAATGTATTTATTTTAAATTAATAAAGATATTTTTTTTAAAAAAAAGTCTATGCTTCACAGTCTTTGCTGTCATTCCGTAAACAGTAAATAACAAAGCAGCTTCTTTGCTCTCTAGGCTGCTGGTGCCCCCAAGCCAACAGTGTGGTGCGAATGAAGTTGACCGGTGACGCTCCCCAAGGCCTCCAAAACTCCAGTGGAACTGAAATGTGAGACCAGCAAGATGGATGTTGGGGTGTACTGGGTCCGTCAAAACCCGGACCTCAGCACTCACTTCATCCTATATATGCCTTCAAGGTCTAGAAGCCCACAAGAAACGGTCAGAGGCTACACAGCATCAAAATCTTCTGACTATTACCTGCTAAGAATTGTCAGCTTCGGGAAGGAGTATGAGGGCATCTACTTTTGCTTTTTGTTCTACAACCAGGTGGTCTACTTCAGTTCAGGACTCAAAGTCTACCTGCCAAGTAAGTCTCATTCCAAGTGTTTAAACGCCCACGGTCAGTGGTGTGAGTTTGATACACATTCCCTGCCACACCAGCTGTTTTCCCTGTCCCCTTTTGAGAGGCGTTTCCCAGAAGGTTGCTATTTTGGGAGGGGGTGGGTGGGATTCAATCGCATCACATTTCAAGGTGTGCGGTTATAGTCGGCTGGGAGGTTTTGTGCAACAAACCCGCTTCGCCAAAAGATCGTGCTTTATGTGATAAGGAAAATGTCAGGAAAATGATGATGATGATAATAATAAATAATACATTTTTATTTATACCCGCCGGCCAAGACTGGGCTCAGGGCAGCTAACACTGAATAGAAATACAGTAAAAAACATTTTAACAAACCAAAAAACCAAACAAAAGAATAATTAATTAAAATGTAAGTTAGAATACAGTTTAAAATGCAGCTTAAAATGTAGCCTTGTTTTAGTGGTAGCCTATATATCAAAGCCATAAGGGGAGAAAACGTCAAATATAGTGGTACCTCGGGTTAAGTACTTAATTCGTTCTGGAGGTCCGTACTTAACCTGAAGCACCACTTTAGCTAATGGAGCCTCCCGCTGCTGCCACGCCGCTGGAGCACAATTTCTGTTCTCATCCTGAAGCAAAGTTCTTAACCTGAAGCACTATTTCTGGGTTAGTGGAGTCTGTAACCTGAAGCGTATGTAACCTAAAGCGTATGTAACCCGAGGTACCACTGTATTCACCAGGACCAATTATCCATGCTGGTCCTACATGGGCCAGCAAAAAGAGCCGAGGGAAAATTTATATACAAATCTCATATAAGGGGTTCCATCAAAATAAATAAATGAGAGGGGAGGTTAGACTGAGTCCAGCCCAAAGGCCAGGCAGAACAGCTCTGTCTTGCAGGCCCTGCAGAAAGATGTCAAATCCCACAGGGCCCTGATCTCCTGCGGTAGGGCTAAATCCTCTAAATATTCTGACAAAGGCAATAGGGTTACAGGAGATGGGAGGCAACCTTTCTAATTAGCCTTCCTGGAAATAAATGAGACCGAAGACCCATTAAATAGCCAATGTCACCTAATCTCTCTACATCAGAATCCAGGTTGTCTCTTGTTTTAGAAAGCCTTGCCTCTCTAATCTTCTCGCCCTTGGCTATTTATCGCTCTTCATCTGGATAATCTTGAAGAGTTTTCCCGTTTCTTACAGCCCTGCTACCAAGGTTGCTTTCCTTTCCACCAGATACTACAGAATCGAGCCATTTCTGTCTGATATCTGAATTTGGTAAGGTGGGCAGCAAAGATAGGTCCCCCTCCTTCCTTCAAAAAAAGTTCTCGTCTGGTCTAAAATTATTAATAATAATTTACCACTTATATTCCACTCACCCCAACCACTCTGAGGAGCTTCCAGCACAATAAAGGCACAGCAAAACGTCAAACATTGAAAACTTCCCTAAACAGGGCTGCCTTCAAATGTCTTTGGAAAGTTGTGTAGTTATTTATCGGTTTGACATCTGATGGGAGGGCATTCCACAGGGCTGGTGCCACTACCGAGAAGACCCTCTGCCTGATTCCCTGACACTACACTTCTCACAGTGAGGGAACCACCAGAAGGCCCTCAGAGCTGGACCTCAGGCTAAACAATGCGGATGGAGGGCCGAGACCATTTGGGTCTTTAAAGGTCAGCATCAACACTTTGCATTGTGCTCAGAAACGTACTGGGAGCCAATTTAGATCTTTTAGGACCGGTGTTATGTGGTCCCGGAGGCCGCTCCCAGTTACCTTTCTAGCAGCTGCGTTCTGGATTAGTTGTAGTTTCTGAGTCACCTTCAAAGGCAGCCCTACATAGAGCTCATTGTGGTAGTCCAAGCGGGAGATAACCAGAGCATGTACCACTCTGGCAAGACAGTCTGCGGGCAGGTAGGGTTTCAACCAGTGTGCCAGATGGAGCAGGTAGACAGCGGCCATGGGCATAGAATTAACCTGTGCCTCCATGGACAGCCATCACCTGAAATTTACACTTCTCTGAATTTTGCAATGCAATTCTCTGGACAATGAAAATACATGTGCTAGGGTGAAATATTTGCAGATTAGTTGCGCTACAGATGGTTGCTGGGAGACCACACATTCAAGAAACGCAAAGTAACTTTTGCTAGGTTTTAATAACAAAAACAAAACTCCTTTTACACTAAATTACAATAAATCAATAAGCATAACCCATCCACCAGGGTACTGAGAGAGCTACATGCTGCTCTTTATATACCATACCCAACAGCTTAATTACCACAACTTAACAGCACCTGCTATACTGCTTCACAGCTGTAAAACTAGGTCACATTATGTGCTCTGGCCTTTAAAGAAATACACATCTTGTGGAACCTTCAAATTTAAAGAGACAATTCAACAAAATGTGCATAAAAACGCATATAGTGGTGAAAATAACATACAGTGGTACCTCGGTTTATGAACTTAATCCGTTCCGGAAGTCTGTTCTTAAACCAAATCCGTTCTTAAACCAAGGTGCGCTTACCCTAAAGAGGCCTTCCGCTGCCAGTGCCCTTCCACCATTCAGCTTCCATTCTTAGACTGAGGTAAAGTTCGCAAACCAGGACAGTACTTCCAGTTTTGCGGAGTTCAGAAACCGAATAGTTCGTAAACAGGGCTGTTCTCAAACCGAGGTACCACTGTACATGTGCTAGACTAGGGAAAACTGATTTACATGAATGTGTATATTGGGAGAAGTTTGTACTACAATGCTGGTGAATTTTCATGAGCACCTTTTAAAAATACACACCACCAACAGATGTGGAAACGAGGAGGAAAGAACTTAAGAGTGGAAAAATTAGAAACTGGGAGAAACTGAAATTGACAGATTCATCCATCTATAGTCCTTAGGCAGTAGGGTTGCCACCTGTCCTCTTTAGGATTGTCCCATATTTGAATGTAAAATGCTACGTCCTGTATTGACACAGTTTTGTCCTGTATTTCAGGTCCCCCTCCCCCCAGTCCAAATGCATGTGTTCGAAATGGAGTATGAAAGGTCATGTATTTAAGCTTTGTGAAGCCAAGCACAGACAGATTTACAAATTCTTGTGTGTGTGTGTTTGGGCGCAACAGATTTCAAACCTGTTAGGCTGCAATGGACCATAATGGATTGCTCTGAAGTCACTTCGGCACCAGATTAAAATAATAATAATCACACACACACCCCAACCACCCAGTATTTTGCCAGGACAAAGGTGGTAACCCTATTAGGCAGGGATTGTGGAGCCCGCCTCCCAACCAAGCCCTGAGCCATTGTAAACATGTAGGGAAAGTCTTCATCTTTATTTTCTTTACAGAGGCTACCACCATCGCACCCCAGGTTTCAACTCCCAGTGAAGGACCTACAACAACCATGGGACTTCCACATTTCACAGCCTCAGGTATGTTTCCTTCTCCCTGCTACTCATTTGGGTCATAGCTGGCATCAAAACAAGAAGAAGTGAGTGAGAGTGAGGCTCCGAGATGTTACTGGACCACCAACTTCCATCATCAATCCGAACTGGCCATACTGGCAGGGGCTGATGGGAGGGGAAGTCCAACAGGGCACCGCCATTTTGGCTACCCTGGTATGCAAAAAGATATAAGGCCACATTTATAACCAGTGCCATGTACCGCTTGGGGCATGGTCCAAAAAGTGAAGGAAGCAGGGAGATTGCTGAAGCTGCCATATTTTTCGCTCTATAGGACATACCGGACCATAGGAGGGGGAGAACAGCGGGGGGGGGATCTCCCTCTCTCTGCTCAGCGCCCCTTCAGCGAAGTGGCAGGAGAAATGGAGCCCCTTCCGTTTCTCCTCCCACTTCGCTGAAGGGACGCTGCGCAGCTCTCCCTCTCTGCTGAAGCCAGGAGAGTCTTGCTCTCCCGGCTTCAGCAAAAGGAACCCGAAGCCTTCAGAGTGCAGCGCAAGTTCCCGCTACGCTCCAAAGGCTTCAGGCGGCTATCCCTGAAGCCTGGAGAGCGAGAGTGGTCGGTGCGCACCGACCCCTCTCGCTCTCCAGGCTTCAGCGAAAGCAACGCGAAGCCTCCGGAGCACGAGGGGGAGCTCTCCCTCTGCGCTTCGGAGGCTTCGCGTTGCTATCGCTAAAGCCAAGGAGCCTGCATTCGCTCCATAGGACACACACACACATTTCCCCTTAATTTTTGGAGGGGGGGAAGTGTGTCCTATAGAGCGAAAAATACGGTAACTAAGCAGGTCTGGTTAGTGTTAAGTCGTGGGTTGACATAGCAGCCGGCACAGCGATTTCTTCAAGTAGCTCTTTATTATGGTAAGCTGGAATACAACTGACTGCGAACAGCTCAGCCGGCCTGTATTTATAGGCAGCCGGCTGTCAACATTGTAACCACAACAGCCCAGAGTTCCCGCCTAAAATAACTGCCGCGGACCTGAGTGAAAACTATCTACAGACCTGAGTGAAAACTATATACAGTATCCCCCTGTTGGCCCAGGGTGAAACTACACTACATAACACCCCTCCCCACCGAGATAAGGCGTTAGTTACAATCGTAATGGTTTCCTTATATACAGCACTACGCGTAATGGTTCAATTAAGCACAAAAGCATATCGGTTACATTTCCCATACTTAGACCAACAGTGATACCTGTCCAACAACATAGTCCTTTAAAGAAGTTGGGCGCCTGGAAACTCTGCCAGACCGCCGGGGACTGGTAGCCAAGTCCGGAGGGCCACACAGTTCTCGCTGAGGCTGTGGTGCGACCCTAGGTGGCGTTGGAACCAACTCCCCTGGATCCGCTGCTGTGGGTGGAGCCTCCGCAAGTGGAGTGGTCTGAGTCTGTTCTGAAACGGCTTGGTTCGGCTCCACGCTGGCAGTTTGCGAGGGAGGTGTAGGTGGGGCCTCGCCATCTGTACGTGTCTCTTCTGGAGCCGCAAGCGCAGTTGGGGGCACCTCGGTAGTGTCCAAGTCCCCAACCCTGCGCCTAAGCTGGTCTATGTGCCGTCGCCACAAGCGTCCGTCTTCGAGTGCCACCTGGTACGAGCGAGGTCCAGTGACTCCCACTACTGTGGCTGGCACCCAAGGGATGTCCCCCACATAGTTCCGGGCAAAGACCTGGTTTCCTGGGACAAATGACCGTGGTGCGTTGGCACAGCCTGGGGGTTCAGCCACGGCAAAGTCTGGGTGTAGCCGGTCGAGCGGTGACCTGAGGCGGCGGCCCATAAGCAGTTCAGCAGGACTCCTCCCTGTGGCCGCATGAGGGGTGATGTGTTGCACGAACAAGTATTCGGCGACCCGCTCATGCCAGTCTCCCCGGTCCAGGCGCGCCAGTGCCTCTTTTGTCGAGCGCACCATTCTTTCCGCTTGCCCGTTGCTGGATGGATGAAAGGGTGCCGTTAGAGCATGGCGGATGCCCAGTCCCAAAAGATACCGCTCAAACGTGCCTGACGTGAACTGCGGTCCGTTGTCAGAGACAAGGACATCAGGACACCCATGCGTTGCAAACAGGCCTCGCAGCACCCGGATGACAGCTTCGGTAGTGGTGGAGGGCATCAGGGCGACCTCCAGCCATTTGGAATAGGCGTCCACCACTACCATAAAGGTCCGGCCGTGAAAGGGGCCAGCCAGATCGATGTGCACCCTCGACCAGGGTGTCTTTGGCGTCTCCCAGGTGTGTCCCTTAGCTGCCGGTGGTGCAGGCCTCGACTCCTGGCACGCTTGACAGGCGGACACCCAGGCAGTGATGGCATCGTCCATATTAGGCCACCAGACGTAACACCGAGCCAACGCCTTCATTTTGACAATTCCCGGGTGGCCAACGTGCAGAGCCTCCAGGACGCGCTGACGGAGTCCCTGGGGAATCACGACGCGGTCTCCCCACAGCAGGCAGCCGCGATGAGCTGAGAGTTCATGTTGTCTGGTTGCGAAGGGCTGGAACTCCGATGCAAAAGGCCCTTGTGGCCACCCCCTCCACACCCAGTTGAGCACCCGGCTGATGGTGCGATCCTGGGCAGATGCGGAGGCCACAGTGGCAGCCGATACAGGCGCTGCCGGAAGATCCTCAATCAGAAGGAGCGATGAAGCTGGAGCCGGGTCTTCCACAAATGCTGGAAGAGGGCAACGGCTGAGGGCGTCGGCATGGCCCATCGATTTCCCCGGGCGATGGATGAGCCGGTAGTGGTAGGCAGCCAGGAAAACAGTCCATCGCAGCATGCGTGGTGAGAGGACCGGTGGAGTTGGACGATCACCGGCGAGGAGGCCCAGGAGTGGCTTGTGGTCAGTGATGAGGTCAAAAGTCCTGCCATAGAGGTATTCATGGAACCTCTTCACTCCAGCCACAAGTGCCAATGCCTCCTTATCGAGCTGGCTGTAATTCCGTTCCGTCGGAGATAGTGTCCTGGAAAAGTAGGCGAGCGGTGCTTCTCTTCCATCTGGAAAACGGTGACTAAGGACAGCACCGATGCCAAAAGGTGAGGCGTCGCAGGCAAGGACCAGCGGCCTGGATTCACTGTACTGTACCAGCACACTGTCTGAAGAAAGGAGAGCCTTGACCGCGTTGAAGGCCGCCGTCTCCCGATGACCCCAGGCCCAAGGCATCTTAGTGCTAAGGAGTCGGTGAAGAGGCTCAGCCACTGTGGCTTTGTGGGGCAGGAACATGTTATAAAAGTTCAGCAGCCCCAGGAATGCCTGCAACTCCGTTTTGTTCTTTGGGGTGGGGGCCTGCTGGATAGCGCGGATCTTGGATGTGGTTGGATGAAGACCGGAGGCATCGATAAGATAGCCCAGGAACTCTACCTGTGGAACGGCGATCTGGCACTTCTCCCTCTTTACCTTGAGCCCGGCCTCCTGGAACCTGGTCAGCACGGCACGGAGGCGCTCGAACAGCTGCTGGTGTGAGTCTGCAGACACCAAGACGTCATCAAAATATGGTACCACGCCCGGAAGCCCTTGCAGGAGACGCTCCATAAGGCTTTGGAAGATGCCAGGAGCCACACTCACCCCAAACTGCAACCGGCGGCAACGGAATGCCCCCCGGTGGGTGACGATCGTCTGGGCTTCAGCAGTGGCATCATCGACTGGCAGTTGTTGATAGGCTTGGGCAAGGTCCAGCTTAGCGAAGACCTTACCCTCACCCAGGGAATGCAGCAGGTGTTGGACAACAGGAACCGGATAAGCGTGCTGCTGAAGTGCCTTGTTGATCGTGCACTTGTAGTCAGCGCAGATTCTCACCGACCCATCTGGCTTGACAGGCGTGACGATGGGGGTTTCCCACTTTGCGTGGTCAACCGGCTCCAAAACTCCTTGGGCGATCAGTTTGTCCAGTTGTTCGTCCACCTTAGCCTTGAGAGCAAAGGGAACCCGGCGTGGCTTTAGCTTGATGGGGGCGACTTGTGGATCAAGGCTAAAGGAGATGGGCGTACCTGTATATTGGCCCAAGGTGCCGTCAAAAACCTCGGCAAAGTCTTTGACCAGACCCTCAGTCTCTGCGTTAGAGATGCAGTTGATGCCGGTGACTTCCAGGCCGAGGGCATCAAACCAGTCTAGCCCTAGGAGGCTTGGCCGCTGACCTTCGACCACCACCAACCGGAGCAGGCCCGAAAAATCCTTGAAGGCGATCCGGAACCGGCCAACGCCTACCACGGGAATGTCGTTTCCCTGGTAGTCTCTCAGGTGTACGCGGTGAGAGTCGAGTTGCCTTTTGGACACTCTGGGTACCAGTCTTTTGATGGTGCTCCATGACACGATGGACAGGGCAGACCCGGTGTCGATCTCCATGTCACATGGAGCTCCTTCAATGAGCACCGTGATGTTCAGCTTGCGTCGCGTAGGCGAGTCGGTTTGGCCAATCGTGGTTCCAGACGGGCAGCGGCAGTTGGTGAGAGCGAAACAACTTCCCTTGGCAGACTGGAGTGAAGACTTGGACTTGCGAGTCGATGAAGGGGGGGTGTCAGACGGAGCCGATCGGCAGACCTTAGCGATGTGGCCCCTTCTGGAACACTTCCTACAGATGGCGTCTCTGAATCGACACTTGGCACGGGAATGGTTGCCTCCGCAGCCAGCACATTCCGGTTGGCCCTTGGACTTCTGTTGGAACTTCCTGCGCTCCCGCTTTGTCTGGTGCACGTCATCGTCTTCACTGGAGGATGCCTCCTCACTGCTGGCCTCTTCATGATGCACCGGAACTGGCTCCCTAGCAAGACGCGGGCTGCTGGACTTGCGGATCTCCTGGGCGGAGCGTTCAGCAGCTTCTGAGGCCACAGCCTCCTCAATGGCTTTCTGTAGCGTGAGGTCTGGCTTGGCTAGGAGGCGCCGTTGCAGATGGATGTCCCGGACCCCGCAGACGATTCGATCCATCAGGGCATCGTCTAAGTCTCGGAACTCACAGTGCATTGCAGCCTGTCGCAGGGCGGTGGTGTAGTTGTTGATT